ATTCCAGACAATGTGCACAGATACTCCAGACCTCAGTAGAATTATTGATCTATAGGTAAATAATATTATCACTTTTGACAGGTATTATACAAATATGTATATATTTCCTATCTTTGACCAAAATGTATATGTGCATATATATATCAGCAAATCATTATTCAAACATATATAACAGACAATGAATGTCTATCATGTTTGATCATGAGCCATTCTAGGCTTCGTATTGTGACTTTAATTTTGCGAGAAAAATTCCACGACTGTTATTGTCGCATAGCAATCTTCTATGTCAACATAACAGAATATCATCTTTAATGGTGAATATCTTTGTTTAAATGTCCATATAACCAATCTGAAGATGGTTCATTTGAGCCAGAAGCTTAGATCAAGGAACAGCATAGAAAAAAAAAAAATATCCAAATATTGGACAGTTTCTGTCTTTATTTTCTCCTGAAATTAAAGCAACTATACAAAGCTTAGAACAGCTTCAATATATGTTTGAAAATATATATATATATATATATATATATATATATATATATGTGGAGAGAGAGATTTTTAATCTGACATTTTTATTATTTGAAATGTTATAGTGGATACTTATATTTGAAATAGATACCCCATTTTTATTTTAAACAGTGTGTATTATATCTATTGTTCTGTGCATTTGAGAAATCTTAATAAAGAAAGTGTTAAATTGAACTTACATCCCATTTTGTAGGAGAAACAACAATCTGATTCAGTATGCTACAAAGAGCGGCAAAGCAAACTTCCTTGTTAAAATATCAGCTCAGTTTAATATCCGAAATATAAACAAAATAATTTCTTAAAGAATTAATGGATTTATTTTTAATCCAACATTTTTATTACTGTTATTATTACTGAACTGTGATATTCTATGGACAACCGACAAAAAACTGTTTCTTAAATATATTATTGAGGAAAAATAGGTTATATACAACAATGTTCAATTAAAAAAGATAGTAGATTAACAAGGATAAATCTCCACAACTGATCATAAAAGTTAAGCTCCATGGAAAAAAGGTTTTTGTATGTTATGTAGTGAGATCATCAGGGTATTATTTATTTAGAGTTCTTAAAGCACAATGAAACACTAAATGCACATTTATATGTCCAGGAGCTGCAACATGTCCATAAACATTAGGCTCATCAATAGGCAAAATCTTGTCCTCTATTATAATGCAGGGCCACATACAGCAAGAACAACACAGGAAGAAATTAGGAACTCAGTTTGTTCTACTGTACACACTATATTCACCTGAACATGGTTTGATGAGGAAAAAAAATCTTTCCCTATCAAACCTGTGGAATTTTAGACAAAAGATATCAAAGAGTTGCCTGATAGTTGGTAACAAGTCATTTCAAATAATGGTGCATATATAATTGAATAAAATGCAACTGTACTTTATTTTTTTGCAGAATAAAGTGGCAAACAAAAATGGAATTTTTTTATGACTCAACCTAATAGATTCAAATGTAGTTGGTGGTAAAATACAATTGTGATTATTGTTTTTATTTTTTTTGCCCACCACTTCCTGCATCAATAGATACATACAAACATACTTACATGCATACACACACACACACATATATATATATATATATATATATATATATATATATATATATATATATATATAAAATATATGTAAATATATATATGTAAAATTTCAGATAAAACTAAATATATATCTTTAAAAGGACAATATGAATAAAGACAAAAGAAAAACTTATCTTAGCCGATGCATATATATATATATATATATATATATATATATAAAATTCACAGCTACTCATGTCAGAGGATGCCAGTCAACTAGGGTGGTAAGTTAATCTCCATTGCAAATGCTTGCTCAGGCACATTTGTGTTTATTCAACAGCAATAGAGCCCACCTCTGGTTTACACTGTAATTATGCTGAGTGAACCGTAGTTACAGTTTCTGAGAGAGAGTGCATTATCTAGCGTGACCTGAACAAGGCCAGCATGCTCAAACCCTTGATCATGATAACTTGTGACTTCATGCTAACACAACTACTGATGGCTCTCAAGGGTTCTGTCTACCCAATTTCACTCAAAAGGCTTGGGTCAACCAGTGGTATGGTTTTCAGGCACTTTCCAAAGGTGCTGTACACTAGGATCACCTCCTCCAAATTGATAACATCAAGAATCACTTTCCTGACAAATCGACCTTGGTGAGATTCGAACCCATGCCTCATGGTCAGAAAGTGAATGTTCTAACCACTTGTTATATATATATATATATATATATATATATATATATATATATATATATATATATATGTAATACTGAAAGTGAATGTTTTCCTATATTTATATAATAAATCCTACCTCTGATATCCCAAAGTATATAAACAGTTTTTACACGATTATTCAGTGAATGAAAAAATTAAAAAATCATAATCACTGTAAAGCAATTGAAAATTTTATATAGATGATTATAAACTGTGGATATTATGAAAAGAGAAAACATTTTTATATTTCAGATGATGTACTAATTTCTGAAGAGGCTGTTTGTTTTTAATAAAGGTGACAAAATTTTTAACACTAAGGTGTTTTGCTTTGGGATATACACAGAGCAGAGAATTGAACCTTGCTTAGTGAGGTTCATTAATATGAACTAATCCAGAGAAAAGAAAATACATTTTAAAATAAAGATCACTTTCCAACAAACTACTTTGTTAGAGGCAATAAAAAAAAAAGATTATTAAACTGAATAAGAGGAGAAACATTTACTGTTTTGTATTTCTGAACTGAAAAAAAATATTTAATTAATGATGAATGTTAATATATACAGATTTAAAATAATGATGAATGTTAATATATACAGATTTAAAATAATGTACACCTCTAAACACCAATTCCATTTGCATTCCAGTGTCTTTAACCATTTTGATGAAAATACATACAGATTTTTGGTAAAAAACTGAATTATATACAGATAAAATAATGATGAAATGTTAATATATACATTTAAAATAATGATGAATGTTAATATATACAATTATAAAAAACAATGCAATTTTCGAAAAAGAATATTTTTTATAGCAGTCAATGCAATTGACAAAGACTAGGCTAAGATGGCGAATACCTAAAGAAAAAAATTTCAGGTGTCGTATAAAAACTGTGCTGTGTCAGGAAAAGTCTGTTTTGAAGTAAATGAAATACTTTATTCCTTGTAAAATTCAAGTTCTTTGAGCCATCTTAGCTAATTTAGAGAAAAAATAAATTATGGTTGACAAGACGAAAAATAAAACAATTTCGGTTAATGTAGCACCTAAACTTTACACCTTATGAATAAGTGGTGTTGTTTTTCAAACTGAAAATTTACTGTAAAGAAAGCTGACTGTTATCATTTAAGTCGATTCCAAAATGTATTTATTGATAGTTCTGAATTGATGTAATTTTTTATTTGATAAATAATTCTGCAAATGTAACAATAACTTGATTTTATTTCTTATATGTAAAAAATAAATTAAGCGCTCAAGAGGTTTAAACTTCTCTCTTAATCTGAATATCTCAAAGCCAAAGATAATCTCTGAAGATTATCTCTTACTGAAAAGACTTTGTTACATTCTAAACTGTGTATTTTTACTTCTTGTTTAAAAAAAAATTCTTTTATTTTGAAACAGAGCTACTAGAATATTTCATGAATTTCTTCAAACTGAAGTATAGTACCAAAATAAGCAGACGACAGTGATTCTGATTCTTATTTTGGTTTTGATGTGAATATTTACCAGCTTACCAGGCAAGATTTTCTTTTTTATTCTATAGGGGAGCTTGTGATCTAACAAACTTCTATTGAAATAATAATTAAGTGTTATGAAGAAATACAAATTAAAAACTAATTCTAGGGCATATAAGTATACCTGCACAGATGAATGTTTTATTACAAATCATTTATAAACTATTACAAATCTCTTGAATTTGTGAGACGATTTGCTTGAAAGAACTGAATTTTGGAAATGAATGTAGGAGCTTGAAGCAAAACTAAAACTAAAAAAAAGAAAACCTACAATACGGATAAGTAAATAGCTTAAAGAATATTTCAATATGAACAAATTATTCAGTATTTTCTGAAGGTCATAAATCTGAATGATCTCTTAACAAATGAGGGGGTGCTGAAAATGTCTTAACCTGACCCACTTCACAAAATCAGTATTTCAATGACCGATCCTTAGTATATGTATTTTCAGTAAGCTACACTGAGAACTTTTCAGTACCTTCTTGGCGATAAATTTCTTGTTTATTAAAATGAAATAATTTGGAGGGTGTTATTATACTATGTGTATTTAGCTTCAAAAATCCCCTTAGTCAAACAGCACACAGCTGATTGAAAACTAAAATGAATATATTGAAAATTAAAATGTGTTTATGCAGCACACAACATAAACTAGAATCTCGGAAACTAAAAACCAGAATATGAAGAATAAAAGTATAAAATAATGAAATGTGTACATCTAATAGAATTTTCTGGACATTTTGTGAATGAAAGAAATTTAAATTATTTGTTGGTATTTTTTTGTTGTTTGGTATGAGGGTAAGTTGAAGTTAACTTAATCCACTTACCAAAATTCCATATTTACTCAGATTTTGGTGTTTATTCGTCAATTGAAAAAGACTTTCAGATTATCTATGCAGCAACAGAAGCAGCAGCAGCATCCAAAGTTGAAGTTGCCAGCCAGAATCTCCTGTCTATGGTGACCACTTTTGTTATTATTATGAATTAATGACATAGACAAACCACTGAGTCCAGTTGAGGTAGGCAGGCAGGTGAGAAAACGGTAAGGTGAAAGTAAATGAGAGAGAGAGAAAAAGAGAAAGAGAATATGCCTGATATTCAAGGAATGAAAGAGAAGAGGGAGAAAGAACAATCATAAAGTGAATGGAAGAAAGAGGGAAGAGAAGAAACATATCAAGAGAAAGTGTGGAAATGAGTAAAGAAGGAAAGGAAAAAATGAAATCAAAGCCAAACGAAATGGAAGAAGAAGAAAAATGTAAATAAGAATATAAGAGAAAACTGACAAAAAAAGAAAATACATTTATACAAAATGAAAGAGAGGTAAAAACAATGTGGGTGAAAAAGTAAGAAAAAAAAAAAAAAAAAAAAAAAAAGAATGAAAAAAAGAAGAAGAAAATCAAAGATATACAGAAAATGATAGAGACAGAATGTTAAATTGGTTCCAGTGTCAAATAAAAAAAAAAAAAAAAAAAGGGGAAAGTAAATGCTCAACAGTAATGAAGAGATGGAAGTCAGTAAAGTGGGGAAAAAGAAAAAGGTGTAAGAGGATAAAAACAAGGAAGAAAAATAAGAGGAAGAGTTTAAAAAAGAAAGAAAGAAAGAATAAATAAAAAAGAAAGAAAAAATATCTAGAAAGGAACAGATACAAGGAAAGAAAGAAATATAAAAAGAATATGAAGCAGGTACATTGCTGGGGAGGAATGGTTAAGCTAGTTAGTCTGTAGCTAGGTTAATCTTCATTAAGTGACCCACATATATGACTATGTTCCAGATAAATCAAAACTTAGAAAATACATAAATAGAGGGGAAGAAAGAGAGGAGTAATAGTGAGAGAAGAAAAAGTAAATCAGAAGAATTAGAGTTAAAAAAATAAAGAAGGTAAGAAAGACGAAGATAAAAAATTATGACTGAAAGAAAGGTGGAAGGAAAAGACAAAGAGATAGAAAATATTAAAATAAATATGACTGTTTTAAAGGAGAAAAATCCAAGAGAAGGTGAAAGGAAATGGAAATTTAGAAAAAAAAAATTAAAGAAGTTCAATTAATTCTAAGGAAAGCAAGAAGAGATGGCAAATATAGTCATAACTGTGATCAGAGAGAGAGAGAGAGAGAGAGATACACACATACACATGCATATATATATTTATTTATTTATATAAATCAAAGTTATACATATATTGTATAAAGGCTACAAATATAAATCCAACTTATATATATTGTATTAAAATGCTAGAATTATATTTGTGTGCATAGACACACACACACATATATATATATATATAAATAAATCAAAGTTATACATATACTGCATAAATAAAGGCTACAAATATATTTGCATTTTCATGCACATACACATCAAATTATTGCATAAATGCTGCAAATATACTTGTAAATACACACATATATAAACCAAAGTTATATATATATTGTATGAATGCCATAAATATATTTGAGTACACACATATATATATATATATATATATAAACACAAATATGCATTTGTATATACACACACACACCTACATACACATACATATACATATATATATATATGAAGAAATATAGTTTTAAGGTGTGCTATATTTGTAGAATAAAGTGCTCAATATCAGGGATACAGGATATGTAAATATAAAAGTGGACATTGATGTCAACACTCAGTGGCGACAGACTGTTTTATGCTAGACGCAATCATCAGGCTACATCATATATATATATATATATATATATATATATATATATATATATATATATACAATTCCAAGTTAGACATATATTGTATAAAAGCTATAAATATATTTGTGCACACACACAAATCCAAATTAATGTATAAAGTTTACAAATATATTTATACATACATACACACATATAAAAATTAAAGTTATATCTATTTTGCATGAATGCTTCAAAAATATTTTTATATATACATGCACATATTTGCATGTACAGACATATATATATATATATATATATATATATCTCCAAGTCATAAATATATTGTAAAAAGTCTACAAATATATTTGTATGCACACATACACACAGAAATTCAAATTAATGCATAAACTCTACAAATATATTTGTCTATACACATGTACACACACACACCTAAATTCAAGTTACTGTATGAATGCTATAAATAGATTTTTGTATATATATACACACACAAATATATACTCAGACATATCTGCATGTACACACACACATAAATCCAAGTTATATATATATATATATATATATATATATATATATATATATATATATATGCATACACACAAGTATAGGATTGGTGTATATGGAATAAATTTCAATAACTAACAAATACTATTCTTAAAAGAGTGCTCAATACAGAGTAGAGCAAATACAATTATTTATTCAAAAATTAAAACATAAATATGTTATAAAATCACTACAAAAATAGCCATTTTGTTTCAACACTTCCGGTGTCTTATCAAATGAGGATGTTGAATGTAGAATAAAGGGTTTTAAAAAATTCAAATCAATCAAACACCCCTCGCTAAGAGGAAATGCTGTTACATAAGCTGGAATGACCAATCAAAATACAAGTATATGAGAATTCAAAAAACTTGACAACGAATTAAGGTTATAATAATTATTTAATGCTTGTAACTAATAAATATTAAATTATACGATAAAATTTGAAATTAAAAATTACCCATTTTAAAATTTAAATTTAATCTATATTAAATTTAAAATTATAAAATTACTGAGGAAAAAAGAAAAAATACATGTTATTCTATTTATTTTGTTTTTATTGAAATATATATATATGCACACACACTATGAATGCTATGAATTAAATACCCATATATACACACTTACACACACATGAATAGATGTCTTAACAGATCTGACATGTTTGCAGTACCATTTTAAATTGACTTGTATTCCTACTACAAGGTCTATATTGAATAACCATGTCATATTTTAAATCTGTCACTCTTACTATACTATCAGGCCTACTATGTAGCACTGTTGTCATATCTGATTTGACATTGACAGTAAGGTAAGTGCAGTCACAAGAAACAGAAGCCATAGAGACAAGTGCATCTGTGCATACAGATGCAACAGTAGAACTTCAGCTGTTGTTGTCTGCATGCACAGTAAAGTAATAGGGAGGGGAGGGCTTAAAATAAATAAAAACAAGGCAGTTGCTCCACAGATAATTTTTCAACATCTTCAAAACTGCCACACAGCCTACCAACTTTATCAAAGGTTTATACCACAAATACAGAACAAGGTAACTTATATTTTTAAATGAAGGCACTAAAATAAAAGATTTTATAAAAATAAAGAAAATTTGAAAGTTTTCAAATATCCTGGTTTTTCTGTTTACTGCTTTTTGGTGGAGTTGACTCCCAAGAGGATGCTTTCCTGATCACTACAATTTTAACTTGTTCAAGTCTAGAGTTAACCATTATCTTCCCCATATATCCACATAAACTATGCCTTTTACTCTGTAACCCTCTATCTTGTGCAGCTCTTGGGCCCTGGACAGGATTAACTTTATTGTAGAAAAAAAATGTAAATCATTTTTATTTATAAAAATAAAGAAAATTTGAAAGTTTTCAAATATCCTGGTTTTTCTGTTTACTACTTTTTTATGGAATTGACTCCCAAGGGGATGCTTTCCCTGATCACTACAATCTTAACTTCTCCAAGTCTATAGTTAAAAATTTTTGAAAGTGGTTGTAATTCATTTAAAGGTTTTTCTTAATGAATATATAGTTTGTTGATCATCTGGAAAAAGAGACAATTTTTTTAAATATTATCTTAGGGGTTCGCTTACTTTTGCACATAGACTACCTATTTCTTAATTTCTACATAACAAAGCAATTGGAAAATATAAAGTAAATGAAGGAGAAAAGATGGTGTGAAGGAGGAAAGGTGAATAAGAAAGATAGGGGAAAAATGAAAAAAGAAAAGTGAGTGAAAAGGAGCAAAAACTTGAGACAAAAATGAGCAAGAAAAAACTCAAGGAAAAGAAAAGTGAAGGAAATGAAAAAGGGAAGGAATGGAAACACAAGGAAGACTGAGAAATTTTCTGTCTTGAGTTTATTACACCTTTACTCCTTTGATATTTTAAAGTGGGTGAAGCTTTAATTTTTTTCTTTTGGAGCGTGCTTCAAAAGAAAAAAAATTAAACCTTCACCCACTTTAAAATATCAAAGGAGTAAAGGTACATCTTTTATAGGCAGTCAGGTAGATTCTCCAGGATTAATATACAGATTATTAATAATGCTCCATTGAATGAACAAACAGAATAAAGGTTACTGATTTTCTTTAATGTCAATAAAGACTGAAATAAAAATAAAATTAATATACAATTTATATTGCTCTATATTGATCTATTTAGGCTAGTGTCCCTATCTTAGATGTTATAGCTACAGCATTATCACTGTCTGAGGCTATATTAAGGTGTTTTTCATATTTAATAGCCTTCTTGGCATTTCAAAGTAAATCTCTTTTTAGACAGTTCCCATTCTGCTGTCTATACTTGAGATCTGAAATCAATTCTTCTTAGTTAATTTATCTTCATAGAAATGTTATGATGATAACAATCAAGATTAGTTTGATTGTGGGTTTGAATAAATTAATGTATAGTAATAATGGTTTCTTGTTTAGGCAATATATAGTTCTACAAAAGGATACTGAGACTACCATAGATTGAACATGTGACTAACAAGGAAGTTTTAAGGAAAATAAAAACAAAAAGGATACTTAAACTTACAACTGGAAAGAGACAGAGGGAATTATCGAGGGTACATAATGAGGAAAGAAGGTTTGGAGAATTTCACACTCACAGAACGTGGAGTCAAGAGGAGCAGAAAAAAGCAGTGAGTAACCTATCTATCAAGCTTGTGAAAAAGAATGGCAGAACAGGGACTGAGAAGGATAGTTTTATGACAAGTCCTATTAAGAGTTACAAAGGATAGGAAGTCGTGGAAAGCCATGATCGTCCACATTCTAAAGAAAAAGATCTAAAAAAATTCAGATAGAAATCACAATTTCTAAGTTGTTAATAAAACATAAAAAATAAGCATATTTAATGGAGCTACTCTCATTATGTTTTCATAAAACTATTTGAAAATCAAGGCCTTTAATTTTATAAAATAGCCTAATAAGAAAAAAATGAAGCCAATAAAAAGGCTCATTACTGAATTCTCATTATTATTATTATTATTATTCAGGAATAATATTCTTGCAGGAAACCTATTCTGTTTTATGTGCAGGATGCAAGTGATCATGGCTCTCTCTAATTTCCTGTCCTTTGTAGTTGTAAATAAATTCTGCCTTTTCATTATTTCTCCTTGATATGTCCTGGAAAGGGATATATTTGTTCAAAGTAGCAAAGTGGTTTTGGACTACCGTAACTGGGTAGGACAATCTAGCATGTAGCCGTAATGGACTGGTCCCCGTCGTAGATGTAGGCAATAAGTGTAGTCAATAGGTGTCATCCCTAGGTGAACATATCAGTCTGTATTTATGGCTGACACCAGCCAATCATAATACTGTGAGGGGGAACCCAGGTGTATGCATATTCATTACATCACTCCTAAATCCTATTTTGCCATCCATTTACTCAAGCTTGTTAAGTATGTTATGCATTGTTTTCCTTTTGCCCTCAATATGTCCTGTGAGTATCAGATTTTCCAAGCACTCTTTCCTCATTATATGTCCCAGAAATTTCAACTTACTAATGTTAAATATTCTCTTTAGTTAATAACTTTCAAATAACTTTCTACATACTCAATTCTAGATTTAGAACTAGGTAACTGTATAGTTAATCCAATTATAATTGTGCTTGTCCCACCACCTTTGTTAGTTTGCACGACCATTACGTCCTGCCAATACCTCATAAATAATGGACTATACCATTTTGATCATGTGGAAAGAGGTGAAAAGATACTACTACTCGGTTACAGTGAGAAAATGAAGGTAAGAAAGAAAGAAAATATGGAATGTAGAAGCTTTTAAAGGTTCATGCTAATACCTCATAAATAATAGTAGACTAGTGGATTAAAGCATTGGTCTGGGAATTTGGTGATATATATATATATATATATATATATATATAATTGTGAATTTAATCCCTGGGCTGGGTAGTGTGTACTTGGACTCAGTGGAAATGGGGTGAGCAGTAAGAAAAGAATAAAATAAGAACTAGGCAAGATCTCCCCAGACATAGGCATTGGACCGAGAACAATCTACCTCCTCAGATTAAATATAGGGTTCAGTTCAAAATTCCCTGTAGGTTACCTGGATTGATATACACCTAATAATACATATGATAATATCTATCTGTCTGTCTTTCTATCTATGTTTGTAATTTTGTGGAATAACACATAATCAGAGACGATACCTGGGTTCAGTGAGAAAATGAATAGAAGAAGTGTTTAATGACAGTTTTAGTGAAACGGAAAAAGTTACCAATTTCAAATCTTTTCATTTGTACCCACTTACTTCCTAAAAATAACAACCAGCATTCATATTTATGATTTTTATTGATATATTGTATGAAAGTTGTTAAGCTCAAATATTAATAATGCAATAGAGAAATTTCTACTGATATTTTATTGTCATGAGCTTATTCAATAATTAACTTAAGAATTAAGATTCACCAGAATATTAAAATTGGAAAACCGTGTAATTTTCTTGGGTTTTTCTAGTAAAAGTTTAATATCTGTCGAAATCTATTTAGAAGTAAGTGTATAGTTAATATAATTTTAATATCCATCTAATTCTTTTTTAATCATTTCCCACCAAGCAAGGGGCAATAAAGTCACTAAGATACATGGGGTTACAGAGTGTATTTAGAAATCTATTTTTTTTATTTTAGTAAAATAATTTTACTGAATCTATTTAGAAGTAAGTGTATAGTTAATTTTACTGAATCTATTTAGAAGTAAGTGTATAGTTTTATTATAAAATTTCCCCATTTTCCCACATGATGCAAAGATTATCCATATTATGCAACACATACAGGTTGTATGCTCAATAATTATGATTTCATATCTGCTGTTTTATATTCAGAGAAAAAGTCCAATAAGGAATGTGCATCTTCTTGAATCTGAGGTCCAGAAGGTTAATGCAAACATCTATTCAACCAATACAATAAAATCTTTTAAGCCATATATAAATATAAATAACAGAGTAATATGTTCTTCAAATGATTATAAAGGGGAGGAGGATGTATCTGTAGATCTTTCATGACACATTTCATTAAAAAGAAACTAAAATCAATTTACCAACTTTAATTTTTGTAGAATTTCTCATAATTAAATCCCATTTCAGAAAGAAAAACAAAAATTGAAAATGCTTCAATCTCATTTGAGTCTATACCCAATGACTACCACATAGATCAATGATTATTTTTTAAAAAAGACAGCATCTTCTTATATGCCAATGAATTCTGGACAATCTTCCCACAAATGTGGAGAAAACTAGAGGTAACAGAAATGTGGTTTTACAGAAGGATACTGAAAATTCCATGGAAGTGGCAAGTAAGCAACAAGGAAGTCTTAAAGAAAATGGTAACAAAAAGAACACATACTCAGAATCAGGAAGAGATAGCTGAAATTCCTTGAACACATAATGAGAAAAAAATGTTTGGAAAACTTAAATCATACAGGGCATTCTGAGGGCAAGAGAGATAGGAGATGGCAGTGAGCTTCTTACCTGATGAGCTTGAGTGAATAGATGGCAGAACAGAGGATAAGAGTATTAGCAAAGGGAGAAAAACTGCTAAGGGCCACAAGTTGTGAAGAGCCATGATCACCTATGTCCTGAAGGGACACAGCACATGAGAGAAGCATTAAGAGTTTTCCAGTTAAAGAAAATGAATTATACAGGTGTGTTATAAAAAGAAAACATAAATAACATAATTGTGAACAGGTGACAAAATGAGAACCTAATTAATGAAGGTGACTTGATACACCTGTTGAAGAGTTTGTTTAGTAATTGAGATAGTTGTCTATTTTTCCCCCGGCAAAAGTTGTTTTTAAAAAGTTAAAAACAAAAGGTTAAAAAATAAATACAACAAAATTTTGACTGTTGATTTTCCAAGTATGTTCTGTTTAGGTCAGAGTAACACAATCTTTCTCCCCCTATTTCCCCCTGTAAAACTAAATGTACAAATTATCAACAGAATACCTAAGAAACAATAATCAAAAGAGAGAGAGAGAGAGACATTTCTAAAAATAAAAAAATAAAAAAATTATTTCTAACCAGAAAGATGCCAGAATTCATTGAAAAGTTAATTTGAAAAACTCTCACACTTTTTTATACTAAAGTTAACTCAAAACAAGGCTCAAGAATCACTCAAGGTAGAGGGTTATTATTAAAATGATTACGATGAAAGTGGCATATGAGTGAAAAAGAGGTGGTGACGATATGCTTTAAAAGCATCAAATTAAATCAATAGCTCTTAAAAGGTTTTTCCTCAATATGGTATTAATCAAACAGCAAATTGTTTTTCTTTCATATTACTTCAGAGAAGTTTCATAAAAAAAAAAGAGAAAGAAGGAAAGAAAAATGTTTGTCAAGAATATCCACAAGCCAGCATCAGAAAGAAAAATGAAAAAAATAGATTAACTTTGAAAAGTACCAATTTAGGTTTCTAACAACTTTTTCCTTGTCATTTTGAGCCGAGTGATGAGATACATTTTTTTTTCTAGCACTAAAAGACAATGGAATGTTTTATGAAGAGTCAAAGTTTCTGTTGATGTCAAATTGGTTCAACTGAATTATCAACAGTTTCAAATTATCTTTGTTTGTTATTCATTAACATGGTTTACTTAATATTCTGGGTCATTAACTCCTATCTCAGAGTCTGTAATTAGTTTACTCTTTTAAAGATACCTGACATTACCTCCCAAGATCATCAATAAATTCAGCCGACTAATTTTATTTTCTCTGATCTGCACTTAAGATAACAATTCATTAAACAGAGACAAAAAAGCAAAACATTCTTGACTAGAATAAAGAAATACATGTGGAAGACCAGTGTATATTTGATATGCAAATAATAGAATTAAAAATTCTTTTTTCATAGCTTTTATCATTATCTCATTATGACTAAAGTAGAGTAATACCTCATATCACCGAGTTTTGAGGCTTCTTCATAAACAGCATTGAATTACAAGCAGATGTAGCATCTATCGAATTTTAGAGCCTTTTTATATATTTTCTCTTTTCTTATGTGCAGATTCCAGGTTGAGGCAGGTACATCAAAGTTAATGATCTCCAATCAGGGGTTACCTGGGAGCAAGGAATAGCTTGTAAATTTCAACACCTCTAAAACAAAACTGCCATCATTTAATCACGATAGAATACCTTTTCTGCCTTCCATCAGCATGGCTGATACTAACTTCCAGGAGAGTAAATCAAGGCTTTTTGGGCTCACATTTTCCACTGACATGAATTGGAGTGATTATATTGAATCAATTGTTAGATCTACTGATTGGAAAGTTGGTTCCCTGTGTTGTGCTAGATAATTTTTCTTGTCAGAATATATCTTGCACATTTATAAATATACCATTTATTTGTGCAACATGCTTCTTCAGTAACCCTCTACCTTGAGTGGCACTTAGGCCTTGTATTGAGTGAACAATAGTAAAAAATTTAAAACAATGTGGTGAGTACATTTCATAGGTACAAATGAATTGAGATATTGTCTGATAATGCAGACCTTTTTGTAAGAAATGAATGAATTGAAGACAGTGGAATTTTATATGGAAAAGACCAGTACCAAAGATACCTGTTCATAGGTTCTAATACAGTTATTATTATCAGGTTGTAGCAGACTTATTTGGACCGCTATCATGAGTGTTATTTTGCAGTCTGGTCATAACACAGATAATGACAGCTGCCAAAAGTGTTGCCTTTTCTAATAATGGTGATAAACGATTCTGCTGCTTGCAGAGTTGGCTTGGCAGCACAAGTATGCGTTGGAAACTAGAGGAAGATATTCCTACACAGTTCTCTATGGAGGTATTGATTTTGTCAAATTCAGCAGAGATACACAACTCGTTTCACCAATAGTAATCCAGCACCTGAGTTTCATAATGTATAGCAAACTCAGAAAGTCAAATTTACAAAGGTGTGATTTTATATGTAAGTCTGTAGATAGATCGATAGATAAATAGAGAGATTTGAAGACTGAGATAGATATGAAAACTAAGAGACAGACACACAAATAGATAGATAGATATGAAGACTGGGATAGATAGATAGATAGATAGATAGACTGAGACAGATATATACATAGATAGACATTCCGACTGAGATACATAAACAGAATGTTATGAAGGCTGAGATAAATAGATAGGAAGAGTGAGATAGATAAGTAGATGAAAATAAATGTATATTTTCCTAAAAGGTTTATAAATTCTAGCAAACTAATGGATAAATATATGCTTTTTTTATACCCTGCATTTTATATTTATATATATATATATATATATATATATATATATAACATAAAAAAGTGCCCAGTGAGAGCATGAATCTAAAAGTTGTACCAACCAGTGAGGAACAAATGTATATTTATTATTAGTGTACATGTATATACAATAATAATGATAATAATAGCTAGCCACTTGTATTCAAGGATACCTGTCTGTTAGGGTGGCTAGCCAATCCCTATTGCAGATGCTTGCTCAGGCACATTTGTGTTTGTTCAACACCCACAGAGCCAACCTAATGCTTTATACTACAACTATGCTAAGCAGACTTTAGTTACAGTTTCTGGGAGAGAGCATGTTATCTAGCATGATCAGCAATCTGAAAAAGGCCTGCACACTCAAACCTTCAGTCACGATGACTTGTGCCTTTGTGCTAGCACAACTATTGACAGCCCCCAAGTGTTCCATCTACCCAATTTCAATCACATGACTTGGGTCAACCCATGACATTGTTTTCAGGCACTTTCCAAAGGTGACGAACACTGAGATTGCCCTCCCTCTCCAGGCTGATAACATCAGGAGGTCTACTTCCTGACAAATCAACCATGGAGGGATTCAAACCTGGGTCTCATGGTCAAAAAGTGAATGTTCTAACCACTTGGCCACACAACTATATATATATATATATATATATATAAAATTTGTAATAAAAATACATTTTGAAAGTATGATATATTTATGGTTAACAGTATTAGAAACCAAGCACGTGTAAATATGAAAATGGACATTAAGCAGCAACAGTCTGTTACATGGTTGAAAGCAACCTTTAGGCCCCTTATATATATATATATATATATATATATATATATATATAAATATAAATTAATTCATTAATATTAATTTAATTTATAAATATATAATTAATAGCTCTAAAATAGTTTTATTAACACCAGCACTATATGTGCGATATATATATATATATATATACACACACACACCCAAATACAGACACATATGCACATATATATATATATCCAAATAAACACACATATATCTAAATACACACAGACCTTAGTTACAGTTATATATATATATATATATATATATATATATATATATATATATACACACACACACACTCACTCACACATGCATGTATGTATGTATGTATAAGTGTAATATATGTAATAATGATGGAATCATGGGACAAACAAATATTAAAAATCACTTTTTTAGTCAATAATGTACTAGAGCTTTTAAAAGTCTTGTTTTAAGAATCATTTCTGAGCCCATGAGCAGGCATCTGCAGCAGATGCGTAGTTATGGTTCAGAGATGATTATCCCTGTAATTGAGTGAACAGCTGCTATATTACCATATATATATTGTTATCTATGAATATATGTGAAAATGTATATTAAATATTTTTGCAACTGCAATTTTTTATTACAAATTTTATGTATATATATATATATATATATATATATATATATATATATCTCCTTCACTTATTCCCAAAAAATGCTGAAGGCTGGTTTACATTTGGACACCAATGTGTTTCATGCTAGCTAAAGTTAGATCATTTTGTTGCTTACTTTTCTTATCTACCAACTCAACAATATTAATAAGTACATCTTATTCTTTATGTACTGAGTCCCTTAAGGACATGGGCAATCACAATGGGCTCTCCACAAATTCCTATCTCTTCTTGCTCTTATCAATGTTTGTCTTTTTACTACCCTCACCATTCCTGTTCTACCATCCATTTAGGTAGGGTACTCACTGTTTCTTTTTGCTTTAAGTAGGTCCTGTAAGTTACAAATTTTCCAAGCTTATTTCCACATTATATATCTGAAAAATTTCAACTCTCTCTTTATGATTATTTCCTTAAAACTTTCTAATTACTAACATTCTCTGTTCATGGTATACTCAGGATACTTTGATAGAACTACATCTCTTTTGACTTGTCCCCTCTTCATCTGTGAAGAAATTGTACAACATTCACTGCCATTAATGAGGACTGATATTATATAACAGTTCACTACTCTTTTCTACATTTCTAATGAAATTTTTATGTTTCTTAATACTTTTCTTAGCTTTTGGAAGACATTTTTGTGATTGACATTCACCTTAGGATTCCTGTGTCATATTTACTTCCCAGACATGTGCATATTACAGGTGCATATTTTCATAAAGCTGTATCTGTCATTATATTTTTTATTAAATTTAAAGTGCACACACACACACACACACACACACACACACACACACACACACACACAGAAGTATAAGTGGTTTTATGCATTATTCTGCGATCCAAAAATATCTTATTATTTATCAAGTTACAAATAATCCTTCTCAGACAAGATGAAAATTCTACTAGAAATTGTTCAAAGTTCATTTCTGAAGAAAATACAGGAAATATAGTGCAGGCTTTTGATTTTGTTAAGTTATTCATAACTTGGAAAAGTCAATCACTATAATTAATCAACACAATTTTTTTTTAATAGTATTTACCTTAAAGAATATTTTCTGCCTAAATACACAGAATATATATGTAAATTTTTTTTGTCAGAGTGTATCTGTAAAGGAACAAAATGAATAAAAAGACAAGAGGAAAACTATTCTTAGCCAATGTGTTTGATATTCTGATGTACTTTATCAAGGCAAATGTAGGATTTATTTTGTTGCACATGTTTATATACAAGAGCAAGGGTGTCATTGACTTATCAAGGCTTTTGAATTTAAGAATGTTCTTGAATATTCATCAGGTGGTTAAAAGGTCAGTCAAAACATGTGGAGGACACAAAGTATCATAATGCAAAGTCTGGTAAGACAAAAAGTAAGCAAGTAATATTCAAGAAATATAGATATATTTTTTATAATAAATGAATATTGTTTAAAATGTGATCAGATTGTTATGGTTTGGGTTTGTATATAAACATGCACAAGAAAATAAATCTTTATATTTGCCTTGAGAAAGTCCTCCGAGTCACTGTACACTATTTGAAATATATATATATATATATATATATATATATATATATATATATATATGTGTGTGTGTGTGTGTGTGTGTGTGTAAAAGTGGACATTGATGTCAACACACAGTGGCAACAATTTGTTTTATACTTATATGCAGATGATGGCCAGATGATTATATATAAGCAGGAAACAGACTGTTGCAGCTGGGTGTTGACTTCAATGTCCACTTTTATATTTACATATGCTCTACCCACAAATGAGTACTTTAACCCATAAATATAGCCTACCTGAAAACTATATTTTATCATATATATATTAACTCATAAATATTGCATACATTAAAATGATATTTTATCATATATATATATATATATATATATATATATATATACCTCTCTCTCTCTCTCTCTATATATATATATATATATATATATATATATATAGAGAGAGAGAGAGAGATAGATAGATAGATAGGGATTGATATTGCTCAACAGACAGATAAATCTCAAGAGAGATAAAGACTCATTAGTAAGGAAAATAAGAGCATAAAATTCATATTTTTTGAGGTTTCTAACCACCAAGTAGATTCACAAGTTCTGAATTACTGCTTTTTAGTAATAGACAGAAATAGTGTTTCTTTTACATTGATCATTTCTCCATTGATTTTGTTATAAATCTTTTTAAAATCCTTCCTCACACTTTCTTGCTACATAACATGTTTCTCTGTTGACAATTCAATTTTAGATTTTCTTTTTTTTGCCCGGAACAGATAAAAATATCCAAGTCCAAGCAGTGATGTTTTACTGCATGTAAATTTCTATCAATAGTGAAGATGTGTTTTGTAACAAAATACACCACCATTAACCAAAAAAGCAAACTCAATATAGCCATGTTTGCTTTCTTTACGACACTTACATTTAGACATTGATTCTTAAAGATATATTTTGTATATAGTAATATAAAAGTTAAAGAAGTGTGTATACATTACTTGTGCGCATACACACACACACACGCTCATACACAGGTGGGTGCTTAAAACTTTCCAGCCTAAACTATTTCTTAAATTTTGATCAAATTAGCAAAATAAGATTTTCTGATTATATATATCTCTCTCTCTCTATATATATATATAGTGTGCAGCAGTAATAGCTCCCATATATACCTCCAAGAAATACCTCCAACATAATGGTAAAACATTATTGACAGTATATATATCATCACAAATGGATCAATATATATATATATATATATATATATATATATATATATATATATAAATAGTGCTGGAAAATTCTTGGCCATCTCCCCAGCTTCATTAATCTTATCCTTTTTCAGCTGGTTAGATTTTGGATAAATGGGTTTTGCAATTAATTTTTGCAATATCCTTTATGTACACACTCTTAGCTATAAAACTGTAAATGCTTATATATATTTCTATATAATAATATTAATGATAATACAACTGAATATATATATATATATATATATATATGTAGAGAGAGAGAGAGAGAGAGATAGAGTGATCAAATTATTGATGTGGATGTATTTGTTTGGAATTTATATAGAAATTAGTGATAGCGGAAGCAGTTGAATAGGAAAAAGAACAAAAATTGAGAATTCAAAAACTAATTTGGCATTTTTCTATTTTCAAGTTTCTTTGTGTGTGTTAAAAGCTGAAAAATAAAATTTAGACAAAAATTTCTCTAGAATCTAAACCAAAGAAAAAAAAAAGTAATCAGACTTTTCCTGAAACAACAAAATCATAAAGGAAGCAAGCCACGTTTTGGCACAAACATATAATTGCCGAAATAATTGATGGAATGTCAGAAGAAAATATCAAAAATTATAAAAAATATCTTGCTTGCTTCTGGAAAAATGTACAGGAAATTAATTTATGCAATGCTT